CCACAGTGAGGCATCTATCAACAGATCAGGCCCATTTGAGCTAGGGGGACAGCTGAGAGTGCTCTGGGATTCGGCCTCTCCCCAACATTTCAGGGCCCCGTGGTCTGGTAGAAAAGCTAAGAACTGTAGATTCTGAAGTGTGCCTAATAGAAGAGTCCACACCCAATGATGACTGTAAAGTGAGGCTAAAGTCTCCTATTGGAAGGGAGAGAAAAAAATGCCTCTGAGTTCCTTATCCCATCTCTTGCGTGGCCATGAGCAAGCCTGAAATTCAAGAGACCTGAGTTTTTAGCATAGATTCTTATTAATGAGAGTGCCAACACTATCCATCAATTACTGTGTGCTTACCATGTGCTAAGTGCTTTATGGGAAACAACTTCTTCAGTCCTCGTAGCCATGACTCAGTGAAGTAGATACTATTATTTTCCTCATTTTACAGATGAGGAAGCTGAGATACAAAGAGGTTAAGCAATTTCCCCAAATTCAAAGCAATAGCTTGTGGTACTGGGATTCAAACATAGGCATTTTAGATCTAAAACTGTGCTCATTATCACTACATGATATTGCTTCTTGGTGAATTTGTCTTATTCTAGTTCTTACCATATAATGCTATAATTCTTTGTTTAAATGCTTATCTCCTACACTACACTTGATGGTGGGTACAGTGTGTTAATCATTTTCCATTGACGGTGGCCAACACTGACCTGAACACTCAGTGGGTGCTCAATAACCGTTTGTGAATAAATACTGAATAACTGAACATTACTTTCTGTGCCTTAGCTCTAGGGAAAGATAAGGAAGAGTTGAGGTGTAGGTTACTAAGGCACTAAGGACTCAAGTCCTGTGGTGGTCACAGTGGAAATTGCTATTGTAAACTAGCATTTCCTTTGAGTTGGGCTTTGCAGATTGGGTTATGTATGAGCAATGGTCATACAGCTGATACTGTTTTTTGGCCCAGATGCTTTCCTGTGCTTCTTCTTTGAAAACAGTATTCCTCAAACTCTTGAGTAGTCCTCTCTTTCTCCCTGAGGTTTGAATGGGACTGTCAATTACAATTTCCCACTCATCCCCATCCAAGCAGGGCTCTCTACCCAAGCCTGGCCATTCAGGCCCCTCCCTGGCTTTTGGAATGATGGTGCTAGAAGAATGGAATTTTGGAGATATTTGAAGGCTGTTTTACATGATAGATCAGAAGTCAGATGGTAACGTGAGAGGATGAGGTCAATGTGCAAAGAGAAGTAGACAAGGAGAGAGAAAAAGGCTGAGTAACACTATTTGAGACCCTGGGTCAACCATACCTGAAGATAAACCTACCTTAGATGTCTCAGCTTTCTGGGCCTCTACATTCCCAATTTGCCTAAGCAAATTTAAGTTGGTTTTGTTACATGCAACTAAAAGAATTAGTTTTAATATGTACCCTATAGTAGATTTTCCAGATATAAAAAAAAAATTGCATGGGACATACTTCCATTGAAAAGTATTAATCGTTTATCTGAAATTCAAATTTAACTGGGCACCATGTATGTAGCTGTCAACTGTACCCTACAGGGATATACTACAGTGTACCAGAGGATGTGCCAAACCACATGACAAATGTTAACACATGAGACACTGCTGGAAGATCTCTTTTAGGAAGGAATAAAGTTAAGTAATTTAACTGGGTAGTTGAAAAATATTTTATATTAAAATAATCATACATAAGATATGAGCTGTAGCAATTAAAACAGTTGGTAGATGCTGTTAAACCAAAAATTTTAACTTCCACGGCTGAAAGTCTTTTTTTTTTAAAGATTTTTATTGGGGAATTGGGGGGATGGGAACAGTGCTGGGGAATTGGGGGAAGGGGAACAGACAAGTTGCTGTCATTTCGTTCTTCAGTCAAGTTGTGGAGGACGTTGCTTCACTGGCCCAAGTTGGCACCATCATTGTGCTCTTCCTGGGCGAGGCACATTAGTCGCCGGCTTCTGTATGGCCGCTGCCTGCTCACGCTGGCTGCTCACGCTGGCTGCTCACGCTGGCTGCTGGCTACACACGGTAGCCCATGGCAACCCACTGCCACAGGGGCTGCAGCCTACGCCGTCGCCGGCGACTCATGGCAGCCCAGCTCCAGGTTGAGCTGTAGTTCAGCATCTTAGCTGTGGAGGGCAGTGTCACTGGCCCTCATATGTGGGATCCAAACCGGGGCCCTCTGGCGTCCCAAGCCAGTTCGTAACCATCACGCCACTCGGCCGGCCCTGAAAGTCTTTTTTTTTAAGAAAGGGTTTATTAGGCCATTGCTAGCAAAAAAAGACCAATTGGGGAGCATGGAGTCTAAATCACCAGCAGCATGGCAAAGTAGGAAAGACACTGTGTCCTTAGTTGCGGAGTTTTGCAAGCTTTTTTATACATCAAGTAGTGGGGAGAAAGATGTAAGCTGTTCTGAAAGGATTTACGTTAGCTATCGACAAAGGGAACCTGAAAGGACTTACGTTGGCTATAGACAAAGGAGACAGGAGAAGGTGAAGCGGGACTAGTTCTGGGATGGGGCAGTGGAGTCCGCAAGGAAGAAGTGTCCCCTCCTGTGTATTAGCTGTGGGCAGCAGGTTGGAAAGTTCACTGTAAACAAGAAGCAGAGGCTCCTGGGGTTTGATGGAGCCTGGCGAGTCTCTCTTTTGGATAATCTAGGAAATAGCCACCTGGAAATTAATGCTATAGAACAGAAAGAGTTTGTAATAAATGCGTTTATAAATAAATAAATGACTTCTCAATGTTGCGCTGGACACTCATAGGAAAAGTGTAAAAAGCACTGCTTTACAAGATAATAGGGCCCATGCGCAGGACATGGGGGAGATACCTCTTGGAACTTGAAGGTCACCATCTGAGTCCTGGAAAACAGAAACCACTCTAAGTATTTAAAACAGAGGAAATTTAATTCATAGAATTGGCTTATATAGGTATTGGCAGATATAAAAACTGAAACAGAGAACAGCATAGTAGCCCAGGGATGAACAATAGCAAGAAACTACTGCCACCCTTACAGTGGAGGGACAGAAGGATACCTCTTGTTACCAAAGCCCATGCATGGGCTGGGAGTTGGAGCCAGGTAAGCAGGAGGAGACAGGCTAAGGTTGGGGGAAGGGGATAGATACTGTGGTTTGCGGGTGGGGTACTCTGGTTTTTTCCTCAACCCCTCCAATTTCCAGAAGTGCCTCTTATTGATGGAGCCCAGCAACTCAGCCTGGGCGCCAACCAGCATGGTAGTCCAGGCCCTGCAGCCTTCGTGGGGTCAGCTCCTTTCCCCCACTGCCATACAGAAAAGATCAGGGTAAAGGCAAGAAATGGATTTGAGGGCAAAACAGTCCCAGGATCAGCACAGAGACATTAGGGGGGAAAAAATCAAAACATAATTGACGAATCCATCCCTTTGGGAAAAATCAACTCAGGGTGCCTACACAAAGGTAGGTTTCTAGAATGACAATTTTTGTCCCCAAACGTCATTTATAGCTGTTTTTTTCCAAACTAGGATTTAACCCTGGCCTATTCACTATATTTAGTTATTATAGCTCTTAAAATATTTTAATTTAGAATAACACTTTTTCTTGACTTGAAGGAAAGAGGCCAGTTGTCCTATAGGACATCCCACCTTCTAAATCTGCTTTTGGCTTTCCTTTAGCGTCATCCTCTAGGTTATTCTATAACCTTGATTAGATCCAAGTTAAACATTTTTGGTAAGTACATATCATAGTTAACAGTGTCTACTTAATGTTGGCACCCCAGCAGGAGGCACATAACATCTGACTGTTTTTAGCTTTAATAATGCGAAGGTTTACCACTGTATTAGGGTGGCAAAAGCTTGATAACTTCACTGTGCAGTTAACGTTCTTTTAGAACCACGAAGCTTCTACCTTGTTAAAGCTCAGTTTCCTCATATGAAATGTGAATAACAGGGTTATTGAATACATTAAATAAATTAATGCATTTAGAGCACCTAGGACATAGTAAACATTCAAATAAAGTCACAATTATTATTATTTTGGTTGCAATTTTAGCATCAGAGAATGTGAAGCAGAAGAATCAAAAGCTCCTCTTCCCCAGTTCCCTTTTGGAGTCTGACAGAATAGGCTAGAAGTTTAACCTTGTTGCTAAAACAGGTGGACAATTTACTTCGTTTTCTTGTATGTAAAGAAAACTATCATTTGTCGAGGGCTTTGTATGTACAGACATTGCACTAAACACTTTACAAACATTTTCACATTTAATCCTTCCTTAAACCCAACAAGTAGAACTATTACCTATTTTTCAGATAAGTAAACTGCGCCAGGAGCATAGCCTCCGGGAAGCGGCGAGATGGGACTTGAAACTGGGGATTCTGCCCTCTCCTGGGGTTAATGAGACTTGAAAAAAAAGACATTATATAAAACGGCTTGCTCCTGGCTTTACTGCTTTAAGAAATCTATTATTTCTCAGTTGTCACCTCAGGAAGCTCTGAGTGTCTTAAAGTTGAATTCCCTCTTTCCTGCTCCATTTTTCAGCCCGCACAGCACTTGGCTTCATCTAACTACGTATTTACTTTATTATCCTGTCCTCCCCAACTCGAATGTCAACTTCACGAGAACATGGATTTTGTCTGTTTTGTTCACTGCTGTCTTAGCATTTACAGCAGTGCCTGGTACTTGGCAGGTAATCGTTAGATTTGTCGAAAGAAAGAATAACACGCTTCCGGAAGCATGAGGAATCAAGATTAAACGAGCTTGGATTGAACCTCGTAGGGACCCTTAGTACCCCTTCCCGCCTTCCTATAGGTGAGAGGAAGAAAGGAAAAGCCCCGCCCCTCACCCGGCCCCAGACGCGGGTGAAGCCGTCGCTGCGCCGCTCGGCCAGCGGATTGGATGACGGAGGAGGGTTTCTGAAGTCGCGTTCGATACCTCGATTCCGCGGCGACGGCGCTTGCTGTGCGCGTCATTTCCGGCGGCGCGGAACAGAGTGGTCAACGGCTTGCGGAGCACCATGCCCAAGTGAGTGGCGCACTGAATCTGGGGATGTTCGCAGTCACTAATTGTGACCCTGAAGGAACGCAGAGCGGGTGTCTGGCTCCTGAGGCCTCTGGGGAAGAGAGCGGGTCTGGGGAAGAAAGGGACCGGGGATTCTAGATACCCCTTTTGGAGTGTGGAGGTCGACTCCATGTAGGGAAACAAAAAAACCTAGTTTATATCAGGACGCTTTGTTTGACGTCTACGAATCGTGACTAGGTCTTTTGTTAGTTTGTTTGCTTGTATGTTTTACCTTGGATGAATAGCACTTAGGTGGGTGGGCATCTATTAACTGGTTGTCATCTCTTTTTCTTTAACCTTCCACCTTTCCAGGTTTTATTGTGACTACTGCGATACATACCTCACCCATGACTCTGTAAGTAGTGTTTCTTTTCAGTTTCAAAAAAACTTACATGTAATAAATTAGGTTTTTTTGGTGTAAGTTTGTGTTTTTCATCCTCATTACAGAGGTTTAAGGGCTATTGCTTGACGAAAATAATTTGGGGTGTTTATTTTTCTACCCTTCCCGTAACTGTCTTCATAATTTGAAGTTATTAGTCTTCTAACAGTCAGTGTTTTCAGTGGAGACCCAAGATGATAACGCTTTAGCAAGTTTGAAGATGAAAAAAAATCTATGACAAGTGAAAATTCCAGAAAAGTATCCTGAAGCTCAAATACTCGATTGTGTCAAGGCACTCAAATGTATGATTGATTAAATTGGAAAGAAATGCCAAAATTGAAACTGAGTACTTCAATTTGATTAAAAACTGCTTAGTAAATAACAACGGCATCCAAGATCGAATATTTACTGTGTGTCAGACAGTGTTCCAAATGTTCACATGTGTTATTTTGTTTAATGCTCATGATAGTCCTATGAGGTTAGTACTATCTCCATTTTACAGAAGAAGAAACTGAGGCAGAGTATGAATAACTAACTGACTATATGTTACAAACTATTGGGTTGTCAGGAAAGTCATGATGCATTTTTGCATTGAAAAACATAGAAAAATACGTCATGAGTTTCCCGACAACCCAACAGTAAGTTGTTAGAGCTGGAAGATGAGCTTAGGCAATGTACAACAGAGCTTCTATGTCAGCAGCTCTCAAACTTTTTTGTCTCACGGTCCCTTTAGCCTCTTGGGTTGTAAAAAAGAAAATTAGGTTATGTGGGTTATATCCATTAATATTAGCTATATTTGAAATTAAAACTTAAAATTTAAAAAGCACTTATTCATTCATTTTAAAGTAACAATAACAAACCTTTACTTGTAACAAAAAACATTATAAAAGTGAAAAATAGCTGTTTTCCAAAAAATAAATAGTATAAGGAATGTTTTAACATTAGCATTATTTTAACATTTTTACAAACCTCTGTATTGTCTGACTTAATGGAAGACAGCTGGATTCTCATCTTCTGCATTATATTTGTTGCACTACATTTTGTTTGAAGTATATAAGAATCCAGCCTCACATGGATATGAAGTTGAAAAAAAAGTGCTTTAATAGCCTTTTCAGATCATTGTAGGTATACTTTAATACTTTACATTGCTTCATCAAAACACCACAAATGGTTAGTTACAGTGTGGAATCTGAAACCACATCAAACTTCCCACACTTTGTTTACATTAAAATTCACCGGTCTGTATTGCAATTTGAGTGGATCTTTTACCATGTGATTTTGTAACATGCTTTGGTCATTTGGAAAATACTGGTTCACTCAGTTATGCAGGTCTTCCAAGTATGGACACATTTAATTATATAATATGAAAATTGGCATTTGTTAATGTCACAATCTAATCAGAAATGGCTTTTAAGTTTCCAGAAGTCGACAAGCTCATGGTGGCAGATAAGGTTTTCTAAAATTCTAATTTTTGTTTGAAAGGTCAATTTTCAAATACTACCAATTGCTTTCCTTTAAGTAACAGGCTCCCTTTATTTACTTTTGAGAAGTCTGAAAAATCAGTTTATTTCTCAATTGTTCTTTCGAATAAAAATAATGTTCTATCAAAGAGACAGCTGGGAGAGTTCATAAGTTGAACAGTTTGCTTGCCTGCTTTTCTTTGAAATAGCATATTTGGACATGCAGCAGAAGTGCTTTGTACATACTTCCCATTTTGTCACCCAGAATATTAAAAAGACATGAACTCAAGGGTTGAGATTTAATAATATTAATAATTTTACTGCTTCTTCAAGGACAGTCTGAGTGAAACTGGCTTTTTACCCCCTGTGAGTGCGTGATATTAAAAGTACAATAATTAGGGGCCGGCCAAGTGGCGCGATGGTTAAGAACTGGCTTGGGACGCCAGAGGGCCCCGGTTCGGGTCCCACATATGAGGGCCAGTGACACTGCCCTCTACAGATAAGATGCTGAACAACAGCTCAACCTGGAGCTGGGCTGCCATGAGTCGCCAGCGACGGCATAGGTTACCTCGGGCTACCGTGTGTAGACAGCAGCCAGTGTAAGCGTCCCTCAAGCCTCCGTGAGCGGCCGTCCAGAAGCCGGCGACTGATCTGCCTTGCCTAGGGAAGAGCGCAATGATGGTGCCAACTTGGGCCAGTGAAGCAACGTCCTCCACAACTAGACTGAAGAACAAAACGACAGCAACTTGTCTGTTCCCCTTTCCCCAATTCCCCAGCACTGTTCCCATCCCCCCAATTCCCCAATAAAAATCTTAAAAAAAACAAAAACAATAATTACTAATGCATTGAGTTGCCATTTCCTTGATTCATTTCAAAGTGCCAGGAGTTTGGCATCATCAATGCAAATGTCAATACAGCGAAAAAGAGAAGTAATGTCTTAAGTAATGTCTAAGTATTACTATGAACCTGCTTTGACCTTGCAGACCCCCTGAAGGGTGTAGGTGTCTGTGAACCACACCTTGAGAAATGCAGCTGTATACTTGCTGCCTTTGCAGAAACCTGATTAAATCAGAACTCGATCATGTCTTGAATAGGAGCTGCAAGAACTTAACCAATGATTTCTCTGTTGGTACTTCATTTGGAATTTTTTTTGGCACATGATCAGATGTAGTTCAGCATTAATAGATGGGTGGAACTTGTAAGTAGGTTGATTCCTCCTAAAGAAATAATAGTTCTGAATATTATTAAATAGTTCTGAGCAAATAATCTGAAGATTGGGCCGGCCGAGTGGCCCGTTGGTTAAGAACTGGCTTGCGACGCCAGAGGGCCCCGGTTCAGATCCCACATAGGGCCAGTGACACTGCCCTCCACAGCTAAGATGCTGAACAACAGCTCAACCTGGAGCTGGGCTGCTGTGAGTCGCCAGCGACGACTGCAGCCCCTGTGGCATTGGGTTGCCATGGGCTACTGTATGTAGCCAGCAGCCAGCAGGAGCAGCCAGCAGCCGCAGTGAGCAACCGTCCAGAAGCCGGCGACTGATGTGCCTCGCCAGGGAAGAGCGCAATGATGGTGCCAACTTGGGCCAGTGAAGCACCGTCCTCCACAACTAAACTGAAGAACAAAATGACAGCAACTTGTCTGTTCCCCTTCTCCCAATTCCCCAGCATTGTTCCCATCCCCCCAATTCCCCAATAAAAAAATCTTTAAAAAATAATAATAATCTGAAGATTGTCCTGGAAGAGGCTCTTTCAATAAGTTGGTATTGATAGTAGCTTGCCTATACGCCTGCAGTTATTTTGTTTTGATCCCTAACCCCTTCTCTAAGTCATTTGGAGAGTCTTAATTTTCTGAAATCGTTAGTGAGGGCTATTCCCTTCTACCCTTTTTCAGCACTATATTTTCATATACCCACTCATCTTGTTAATGCCAGAATTCAGAGAATTGAAAAATATCTCTATAATAACTTTATGAGAAACATCAGGAACTTGCAATACCGTTGTTCTAACATGAAATCTTGTGAAAATAGTAGGAAATGTCCATCATGATTGAGGCAGTTCCCTGTGGTAGACTTTGAAATGTATAAAACATTCAGTGCTGTGTATGTAACTTTGAAACTATTACTGATTCTTAGGCATGATTTTGTTTTTAGGCTTGAGGCATCGTTGTTGTAAGCATAGTATAAGTGGTGGTTTGGGAGATAGGGAACAATATTTTGAAATCGGGACCCACCCACATGACGGTCAGATCTGCTGCTTCTGATGCAATCCTGTGAAGAGAGGCTCTACCAGTAGGGGGTAGTTAGGTAGCCTTGGAGCATCTGGATGAGGTCTGGATTCCAGGCCTGGGTTTGCTGCTTACCAGCTATGTGTTTTGAGACAAGTCTAAGCATGAGTAGAATGTCATTTATTTCATGAACTTTATTGAGTTTTAATTTATGTTCAATTAAATGCCCACTTTTTTTTTTTAAGATTTTATTGGGGAATTGGGGGAAGGGAACAGCACTGGAGAATCAGAGGAAGGGGAACAAACAAGTTGCTGTTGTTTTGTTCTTCAGTCTAGTTGTGGAGGACATTGCTTCACTGGCCCAAGCTGGCACCATCATTGCGCTCTTCCCAGGCGAGGCAGATCAGTCACCGGCCTCTGGACAGCTGCTCACTGCGGCTGCTGGCCGCTCACGCAGGCTGCTGGCTACACACGGTAGCTTATGGCAACCCACTGCAGCAGGGGCTGCAGCCTACGCTGTCACTGGCAACTCACAGCAGCCCAGCTCCAGATCGAGCGGCTGCTTACCATCTTAGCTGCAGAGGGCAGTGTCACTGGCCCTCATATGTGGGATCGGAACCCGTGCCCTCTGGCATCCCAAGCGAGTTCTTAACCAACGCGCCTCTCGGCCAGCCCAGTGCCCACTTTTTAAGTGTGCAGTTTGATGACTTATGAGATGATTAGAACTTGATGTATACATCAAGCTATAGAATATTTTCACCACCTCAGAAAGTTCCCTTGTGTTCCTTCGCAGTCCCCTACACCCTTGGTCCCAACTGATCTGGTTTTTATTACTAAAGATCAGTATTACTAGATTAAAACTTCATCTGAGTGGAATCTTATAATATAGACTCTGCGCTTATGTCTGATTTCTTTTGCTCAGCATGTGTTTGAGATGGGTCCATATTGCATGTATCAGTGATTCGTTCTTATTAGTATTCCATTGTACTTTGCACATGTGATTTTTAAGAAGATTGAGACACTGCTTGTAAAGTACATAACATGGTGTCTGGCATTTAAGTGTTAAAAAATTATTAACTTAAAAAAAACAAAAGGTTAAATGTGTGGAGTTTATATTATGTCAATTTTACCCAATAATGCTGCTAAAGAATAAAAGGATTAATGAGCTGGAGACAGGTCATGTGTGATTCATATAGAGTCTTTATTCTGGACACATAATCATTTAAAAGCCTATATTCTCATAGACAATGTTATTTAAATGTATGTAAGCTATATTATTTTGCTATAGAATAACCTAAGACAGGGTATTAAAATGGTGTTGTTTTAGATCTTGGGCTTGCAAACTTTTTTCTTAAAGTGCCAGATTGTAATTATTTTAGGTTTGTGGACCATACGGTCTTCGTTGCAGTTACTCAGTTCTGTTGTTGTAGAGAGAAGATGTGGGCAATACATAAACAAATGAATGTGGCTGTGCTCCGGTATTTTTTTTTTTTTACAAAATCAGGCAGCTGGCCCATGGGCCATTGTTTTGCTGACTCCTGGTTTACGTAATAAATAGTGTAGATAACTTACCTTAGTACATTGTTGGATAATGTTTATAAGTGATGGCGTTAGCACCCAGCTACAGCTGCTAAAGGTAGCCAGGCCACCTATATAAAGGTAAGGCTTTATCAATTTTCTTGTTTGGGAAATTTGTTTCTGTGACTGATATGACCTTTTTGTTTTACAGCCATCTGTGCGAAAGACACACTGCAGTGGTAGGAAACACAAAGAGAATGTGAAAGACTACTATCAGAAATGGATGGAAGAGCAGGCTCAGAGCCTGATTGACAAAACAAGTATGTTTCAGCCTTTTGTTCCGATGTGGTAGAATGGTCCCATTCTTTCTCATCCCTGTCTCTCTCTTGTTTTGCACAGAAACAACTCGTTCTGAATGATAAATAGGAGCATTCTGATGTGTTGAATGAAAGAAGTGGAAGGTCATTGGTTTCCCAGGGATATAGGAACACATTAATATTAATTATTAAGGTTGGAGCAATTGGGTATTGGTTAGACTGGGAAGTGAGGCAGAGAAGAATGAATTGCCTAGTATTTCTTTATTAATGTGGACCAGATTTTGTAGCAAATTTATATAAAACCTCCTTTGTAGTGATCATAGTTCTTAGGACTGTTTTCCTTTTATAATCGGAAAAGGTGGGGGGATGGGTTTGTAGTTCTCTTCAAAGAGCTTGAGAGAGTTTCTTCGTCTTTGTAGTTCTGACAAAGATAATCAGTCAGAAAGGAAGTAACTGATGTGACGAAAGTATCTGAGTATGTTTTGGGCCCCTGTCGGACGTGCCATAATCTTTTTGTTAAATTAGGAATGTTTTTGTTGTTCAGGTAGTTGATTCCAAGGCACTGACAGGAGATGTTGCATTTCTATGTTAGCTCATCCTGTTGTATTTGAAACATGGCCTTTGTTAATTATTTATCGTACTTAGCTGGCAGGCAAATGTGGACTTTGATTGTGATATGATTTAAAAAAAAACTGTTATGGAAAATTTCAAACATGGTAGAAAGACACATTTAATGAATGAACCTCCCATGGCTGTGCACCGCCACCTCCCACCTCCCACCACCCCCATCACCCCATCCTATTCCCCAGCACCCAGCTATAGCAGTCTCATTTCATTTATACCAGTTTTCAAACTAAGCACTATTGACATTGGGTTGGATGAGTCTTTGTTATGGGAGCTGTCCTGTGCATTGTATGAAGTTCAGCAGCAGCCCTGGCCTCTGCCCACTAGAGGTAGTTATCAATTCCCAGTCATGACAACTAAAAATGTCTCCAGGCAGTGCCTAGTAGTACTCCAAGGTACTACTGGCCCTCTGGTTGACAGCCACTAAATACTTCCATCTCCTTCCTTTATCCCTCTTGAATTTTTAAGGAGCAAATCTCAGCATTGTCCCATTTCCTTTGAAAAATTAATTATAATGTAATCTTTTTCCTCTGTTTGAAAAGATATTAGAAATTTGGCATTAAAGGTTAGCATTCTATTCGCTTAGTTATTTTTTTGTATGCAGCAGAAGAATTTAGGATGAGTATACGTTTTTTGGGTTTTTTTAAAGTTTTTTTTTGTTTTGTTTTTGGTTTTTTTTGGAAATTGAGGGAGAGGAACAACACTGGGGAGTCAGGGAAGGGGAACAGACAAGTTGCTGTCCTTTTGTTCTTCAGTCTAGTTGTGGAGGACGTTGCTTCACTGGCCCAAGTTGGCACCATCATNGAGGCAGATTGGTTGCCAGGCCCTGGACGGCCGCTCACGGCGGCAGCCAGCCCCTCACGGTAGCTTTTTACAGCAGCCCACTGCAGCTCCACTGCAGCATATGCTGTCACCGGCGACTCACAGCAGCCCAGGTCCAGGTCGGGCTGTTGTTCACTATCTTAGCTATGGAAGGCACAGCGTCACTGGCCCGCATGTGGGATCCGAACCGGGGCCCTGCTGCTCAGAGCTGGTGTCCCAAGCCAACTCTTAACCAACGCGCCACTCAGCTGGCCCGAGTAAACATTTTTTGATGGAGGACTTTTGGAGGAGAGGAGGTAAGCCCTCAGGGACTCACCTCATGATGTCCATGATTATGGTGACATTGAGTCAGCTGCTGAACCGTGGCTTAGCCACTCCCTCAGTATCTATAGGTTGTCCTTTCACATGGTGTGGAGCTGCCTTATTAGGGTGTGATCCATTGTAGAGCACAGGCTCTGTTCAGAGGCGTATGAATAGCTGTTCATAATCTCCACTCTAGGTCACTTCTTTGGACCTGGTCCTCATGAATTATCAGTGATTTACTTGAATAATTTGACCCCCTTTGCACTGGTGGGGGTGGAGTGGGATGGGGGTGGGAGCCTGGGCTACAGACTGCACTGAATTGGGAAGGGTTTACATTCAGAAATAGACTTTATGAGTGTATTTTAGTATTTACTTGTGGCTCCTTTTACAAACCAAATATAAATGATCTTCAGTTTCTTTTGTGCCTCTTATTGTCTGAAATAAAAATTTAAAGTTGATTATATTAGACACTTTTTAAGACCATAATCTCCTTCAGGGCAGGCTCTTGCTTTGAAATATTTGTTTTTTCCATGTCTCTTATCTCGGTGCATTAATTTTGAAACTGGTAAGCCAAACGGTATATTGTTTTGACTCAGCCTATATAGGAATGATCGAAGTTTATAAAGCCTGGCCTTTAGACAGGTATCGCCCATTTTCAAACAGAACTGTGAATGGCTTGAATTGGTTATAAACCACATCTACAGATTAAAGATGACCACTTCTCTTTGGTAAGACATTGATAGACGGAGGTTTTCACTCCAATCTCCAGTAGTTAATTCAGCCATAGCGGTGCTGTCTAAATAAAAACAGGTTAAAAAACCCAAATCAATAAACCAATTAATTGCAATTTTAGTTGGTGGATATCTAAAGTTGATTTAAAAACTGGAAGCCATGATGTAGTAATCTTAGATGATTACTTTTTATTTATTTATTTATTTATTTTTAAAGATTTTTATTGGGGAATTAGGGGGATGGGAACAGTGCTGGGGAATTAGGAGAAGGGGCACAGATAAGTTGCTGTCAGTTTGTTCTTCAGTCTAGTGGAGGACGTTGCTTCACTGGCCCAAGTTGGCACCATCATTACGCTCTTCCCGCGCGAGGAAGATCAGTCGCCGGCTTCTGGACAGCT